CTCTTTGTTTTTGATGTTACTTACAACTTTGTAATTGTCTTCTCTTTGTTTTTGATGTTACTTACAACTTTGTAATTGTCTTCTCTTTGATTTTGATGTTACTTACAACTTTGTAATTGTCTTCTCTTTGTTTTTGCTGTTACTTACAACTTTGTAATTGTCTTCTCTTTGTTTTTGATGTTACTTACAAGTTTCTAATTGTCTTCTTGTTTTTTGATGTTACTTACAACATTGTAATTGTCTTCTTGTTTTTTGATGTTACTTACAACTTTGTAATTGTCTTCTTGTTTTTTGATGTTACTTACAACTTTGTAATTGTCTTCTTGTTTTTTGATGTTACTTACAAGTTTCTAATTGTTTTCCTGTTTGTTGATGTTACGTATAACTTCTTCTTGTTTTCCTGTTTTTTGATGTTACGTACAACTTCTTGTTTTTTGATGTTTCTTACAACTTTGTAATTGTCTTCTTGTTTTTTGATGTTACTTACAAGTTTCTAATTGTTTTCCTGTTTTTGATGTTACGTACAACTTCTTGTTTTTTGATGTTTCTTACAACTTTGTAATTGTCTCCTTGTTTTTTATGTTACTTACAACTGTAATTATCTTCTCTTTGTTTTGATGTTACTTACAACTTTGTAATTATCTTCTCTTTGTTTTTGATGTTACTTACAACTTTGTAATTATCTTCTCTTTGTTTTTGATGTTACTGACAAATTTGTAATTATCTTCTCCTTGTTTTTGATGTTACTTACAACTTTGTAATTGTCTTGATTAGTGTCATGTCCCTTTTTTTTCTATTCAATAAATCTAAACAAAAAGTAATCATGTTAAATCCAACTACACTGTTTGAGCGTACTAAAAGCCATTCCGTAAAAACTGCTCTGAATGGATTTCATATTATGGGATGATTAAGTTTTATGTTTTGGTGACAGATTGCCAAGTCAGTTATGCTACCGAAACTGTACTGAGAAGCTGTCTGGGAAAAAGAAAATGTTCTGTTGCAGCTGACAAGGACACGTTTGGAGACCCCAACTGTCCTCGAAAATCATCGCTGTTTTTGAAAGTTGTTTATACATGTGGTAAGTATACAAACTGTACCATGTATATGGGAAGCTTCAGTTTCAAAGTGTACAAGTCCCTTTTATTACAGAATTAGTAACTGTAACTTTTGTTCGATTGCGGACAAACTTTGTGATATATCTTACAACATTTCCATCTAGTTAACAAAGAACTTCTTAGAGAACTGGAACCAAGCCTTGAAAAGGTCAACGATGACTACGGAGATGACAAAAAGGATTTCCAGGAAGAGGCCAGCTATGTCCCTGTTACAGTAAAACCAGACAGTCCGTGGATAAATAAGGAAGTCGACAGTAAAGTGAAAAGTACACCAAAGTTTAACTTGCTACCAGGTGAGCTGGTTATTCTACCTGTCAATTTTATACAGTAAAGAGAAAAGTACACCAAAGTTCAAGTTGCTACCAGGTGAGTTGGTTATTTCTACCTGTCAATTTTATACAGTAAAGTGAAAAGTACACCAAAGTTCAAGTTGCTACCAGGTGAGTTGGTTATTTCTACCTGTCAATTTTATACAGTAAAGTTTCGCTTACAAAGACTCTTGGTCTATTATATATACTAATAAATAAATGTAGCATCTCGGCTACAGTTTACTGTCCACAGCTCCTTCACCAGTATAATTATATTACTTTATTGTCCATAATTCTTTCGCCAGTACCAATATTATTAGTTTACTGTCCATAGTTCCTTCGCCAGTACCAATATTATTAGTTTCCTATCCATAGTTCCTTCGCCAGTACTATATTATTAGTTTACTGTCCATAGTTCCTTCGCCAGTATAATTATATTAGTTTCCTGTCCATAGTTCCTTCGCCAGTACAATATTATTAGTTTCCTGTCCATAGTTCCTTCGCCAGTACTATATTATTAGTTTACTGTCCATAGTTCCTTCGCCAGTATAATTATATTAGTTTCCTGTCCATAGTTCCTTTCGCCAGTACTATATTATTAGTTTACTGTCCATAGTTCCTTCGCCAGTACTATATTATTAGTTTACTGTCCATAGTTCCTTCGCCAGTAGAATTATATTAGTTTACTGTTTATAGTTCCTTCGTCAGTACAACTGTATTAGTTTACTGTCCTTGGTCCTCCGCCAGTACCAATATTATTAGTTTACTGTCCATAATTTTCTCGCCAGTACCAATATTATTAGTTTACTGTCCATAATTTTCTCGCCAGTACAATTATATTAGTTTACTGTCCATAGTTCCTTCGTCAGTATAATTGTATTAGTTTACTGTCCTTGGTCCTCCGCCAGTACAATTGTATTAGTTTACTGTCCTTTGTCCTCCGCCAGTAACAATATTATTAGTTTACTGTCCATAATTTTCTCGCCAGTACCAATTATATTAGTTTACTGTCCATAGTTCCTTCACCAGAGCCCACCGATTCAAACGTTATTCTCGCCAAGTCCACAATGAATCCAGACATGCAGAGCGACGAGAAGGTGAAAGAACAGGACCTCAACTGTACTGTTATTGAAGGTGACCAGAAGGTAGTAGGGTTCCTGACAGAGTGGCTGTCTGCACTCAGGTTCATCAACGGTAGGTTTCCAATTTATCAACACACGAGTCATAGAAATAATAACAAACAAGACTTATTTACGTATGTAACGTTTGGTTATAGACAAACATCTTGGATCAGACATGACCAACATTAGTGTACCGGACTGTGAATCTGAGGGACTTTGGTTTTAATCTCATTGACACAAAAACGCGCTCTACATCATGGAACCGTGAATGAGTTATAAGAGAGACGGTCAAATCCCACTACTGGATTTGAGTTGGCGGTGGGTGCTGTTGACTATCTTCCTTCCATCCAGCCTGTCAATTTCAAATTAGAGACGCAGATAATCAAGGATCCAGCGTCGTTTACTTCTAAAGCTCAAAGAGAAGGTCTAGAGAGATAAACCTCGAGTCGTAAGAGATGAGTAAAGTGACCATTAAATATATTTATTCTCAAAAATGTAAGTTAAAACAGGGAGGATATATAATTCGAAAACGTAAAAGTTTAGCCAGTTTTTTAATACAAGGATAACATGAGAGTTAAAATTTAGGGGGCATTGTTTTCACATAACCCCGCAATATTGCAAACAGTGTCAAAGAAAGTTTGTGAAATTTGACCTCCAGTTGCACGTTTAACCATTTGCGATACTTCCCATACACACAGTGGATTATGTTTTTTTAAAAAAATTATCAGAAATATCACAAAAGCTCGTTTTACCTAATTATACGGGGTCAGTCAAAATTACCGACCTTGTCACCATAAAATTATACATACTATAACTATACGTTCTATGTGTATCTTGACGAAACATTTAGTAAACATTACGTGTCTTCTGTACCCAAGAAATCAATCTTTTAAATTAATTATCTTTATTAGAAATTTTTCTGTGAATTTAAAGAGTCAGGATCTGAGTCAGTACAAGGTGATTTTCATGTTAATATTACTTATACAGTTTTCACATTTCATTTTCTTAACCGCTAGGCCCTTCTAAATGAATATCGAAAGTTGTTTTTCAGTAAAACTTTATATTTTCTCTACCACGACGAGGCTGTTACAAGGACGCTCTTGCACCATATGTACTCCAAAGCCAATAGTTGTTATACATTTGTCGTCTTTCACTCGATACTGATGTTGCGATGCTACCTTGTTGTCATTGTAAAAATATTAATGCATACAAACTGTTCTTCCTTACTAGATCTGGGATAAAAAAGGTGCACTGTCATCCATGACAGTTTTATCTATAGGTTTGTAAATATCTACATGATATTCAGTAAGAAATCGTTTTATAGTACCAAATTCCCACCAACAAATCATTGTGTTTATATGCACTTTCAAACGTTTATTTGTGTCCAAACATTACAGCCCAATCTCCGTCTACCATTTCCAGTTACTGGAATTTGGGAACACGATTGTGATGGTTCTCTTGCACTGGGCTTTTACGAAGTTACAGAAGTATTAAATCCAATTGTAAAACTGTGTGTAGGTAAGAGCTATTACGGTAGATGTCGCTGGAAGAAACTTGGGATGCAACATAAGTGTGATGATTGTGAAGTGGACCCCGACTGAATTGGAATAGACGATTTCGATGAGATGTGGTCAGACGTTACTACTGTTACGTATTTGCTCGTTTGTTACTTTTTGGGTCTAAATTCTTTCCGAGAAACTTCAGCGATACAAGTTCTTTCTTAATCAAACCTAGTTTATTCTTCCTCGATACAAATTTTTGCAAAACACAGAATTTCCACAGTCACTCTAAATTTAACCATTTTTATAACACACGCAATAAATCACAGTGATTCACACACTTTACTTACGGTGCCTACTGTTCGCT